AGTCTATGATCAGCTCATTTTTGTTGTTGTTGTTCTGGGCTGGAGGTGAGGCAGAACATCATGGCAGAAGGGCATGAGAAAAACTACTCAGCTTGTGGCATCCAGGAAGCAGTGAGAGCAAGCGAGGTGCCAGGAACAAAACATAAGCCCCAAAGGTATACCCCACCTGCCTATAATTACCACCCAATATTATCAATCCATCAAATGAATAAATCCACTGATTAGGTTACAGCTATAATCTAGTCATTTCACCTCTGAAAATTCCTACATTGTCTATCACATGAGCTCATTGGGGAACACCTCATATACAAAGCACAACAGGAGGAGATAATGATAAGCCGCCATCTTGGTATTGATAATGTTTCTTTGCAAACTGATGGTGGAGGGAAGAGAGACCCTGCCTGGCACAAAGGAAACTCAGAATGTCTGTACAATTGATTCACCCTTGAAGAAAGGTTGCCCTTTAGGCCACATGGGAGTTTCCTAACCTTTCGTATCTTTTTCATCTTGTTACAAGGCATACCCTGGGAACTTCTTAAAGTTGTCGTAAGTTTGATCAAACTGTTATCCTACTTTCATAGAAGCTATTGGCTTATTTTTCCCACTCATTTTGAGGATCAACCACTCATTCAGATTTTACCTGAGAATATACAGTGATATACCCTCATGGAAACAAAGAAATATAATGGAATCAAGCCTTGTTAAATTGCTATTTCTAAATCAATCTCTCTTGGACCCATGGAACACATGGGTCAACTCCTCTCTGGCTCCCCAACATCACCAACATATCGGACACTTGGAGGCAGCCGTGGCAAATGCCATGAAACCCAGAAAGCCCCAGTATGGCTGGAAAGATCCCTAGGAACACACATTGGGGGTTGAATACTTCAGGGTTTCCTTCCTGCTCCTTGGATGACCCTCACCGGGTCTCACGGGATAGTCTTCTCTAAATGTCTCCACAGCAGTGGGGTTGAGCGGGGCTTATCACCTGGACAGAATTTTAATTTCATTTTTGTTGGAGAAGCATTTCTGTCTTATCTCTAGAGTTGTATATGAAACAGCCTTTTTTTCCATGAGCTGTTTCCTGACTCTGACCTCAGATTAAGGACAAAAGAGAGACTAAGCTGCCTTAAAAAACCTTTCCCTTTCTGCATCAGAGTGTGTGTATGTGTTGGTGGTGGCAGGCAGGGGGAGTTCTCTGGGGAAGACAGAGAAATGTAAGTTTGAATCAATGCACAGATGAGTCAGAAACTAAAGAGTTCTTCTCATATCTTCACATGACAACTTGCAAAGTTGTATATTTCCCCCTGCTTTTCTTATCATATGTAGTTCATTAAATGCCAAAATCTTTCTTTCCCAAGGATGCTCTTTTAACAAACTAATTTTAGTTAAGTACTTACTCCTATTTGTTATATGCCAAAAATGTATATGTATTATTTCATTTAATTCTCCAAATGGCTATATGAACTGGCCCCAATTATTATTGCTATCTCCTCAGATAAGGAAAAGATGGCACAGGGAGGTTGAATGACTTGCCCGAGAGGAACAAGGGGATGGAAGAGTTGAGACACATAGCCAAGACTTCCCGACTTTAAACCTGCACTCTTAGATGTTGCTCATAAACATTGTGGTAGCACCCTAAGGCACAGGATGCTCTGCAGCAGAATGTTGTGCTTTGAGATAATTTCTTGACAAAACAGGAATATTAAAAAATTGTTGCTGAAAATCCTTCTGTTGTGTACTTTTTTTTTTTCCACCAGTAGGTAGAATAGAAACTAAACAAGAGGCAATTGGGAATCTCCCACTACTTTGAGACTTTTAAATCTGAATCTCAAATTTAACTGTGAAATATTTTAAGGATAGAATAAACAAAAGAATTTGGGGGAATATTTTCCAACAATATGGCATATTGAAGACAATTTTCAAAAACATATACATGTTACTTGTGTGTCTAAGGGAGAAGAGGAAAATAAGAGAGCAGAAGAGAGAAATTTACCCTTTCATTCTTTCCTCACACTAATCAAGTCAAGGATTCTATAAGGGGAAGGAACTAATATTTCCTGAGCACTGACTAGGTGCCTGCCACTGTACCTGTGACTTTCTAGAACATTCTCTTCAAACTTTCTCTATTATCCTTCATGATAATTATTACCTTCAACCTTCAAGTTGAAGTTCAGAGAAGTAGTGTGCCCCAAATCACAAATCTAGAGAGTGACAAAGCCAACCTGTCTGATTGCAATACAGTAGAATATTGAATAAATAGGTCCAGAGCAATCAGTCTCCCATAACTAGCATAGACCTTGTGGTCTCCTGTTTCCTCTGGGTTGAGAGGCATCTGTCTGTTTCCTTATGGAGATTAAATTTCCTTCTATCTGAATTTTAAAATAATCCATAATTTTATATGTTGTCTTGAAGTATGCTAAGAAACCAAAATAACAAGACTTAGCAAAGGTATGGGAAAACAGAAACCCTCATATACTGCAGTGGAAATACTCAAATTAATTATGCTGATGCCCACACAATTTTATAAATATAGAAATCATGAAAGTATACCGCTTAAATGGGTTAATTGTATAGTAGGTAAATTATATCTCAATAAAGCTTTTATATATGTATATAAAAACTGTACTATGAAAAAATTAAAATTATATATTTGGTAAATTCTTGTCAATGAATGTGCCACAGTAATGTATAACTACTTTGAAATGATCCTAGTAAATTCAGATGTCTTTTAGGTATCTACAGTCAAAAATTGTGCTCATTTGCACAATATTACCTATAGCGTACCCAGACTTACTATCCCTGGAATTGAATGCTGATGCTACGACATCCCACACGGCCTCTCTATGCAGTGTACCCTTGTGTAGCCAACAGGATCAACAGTGGTGAAAAGAATCATCTGTGACTGGCTGATCATGGAGATGCTGCTGGTGTTAACTGACTCCTCAACACTCTCACTGAACCAAACCCAGACTGCAGAGAAGCTCCAGTGTGACTCAGGGCCACCAGCCAATGAGGATGTCACTAGGGTCCTGAAATCTGGAGTGAAGAACAACAAAAAGGTCCTGATAACACTTATCTATTTACAGTCATATTTCCAATCAGATGAAGGAGTATGGAAAGGAAAAAAAATCAATAAATTCCAGAGTAAAAATGGAAACCAATCTCCATGGGGGTGGAGACAAAGGGGAGTGGAATAAACTGATGTCAGAACTCGAGGTCGGGTTGTGAAATTAGCCTGATGTGAATGGTTACAGAACATCCTGGGGGAAAAGTATCTAAATACTGATTATACTGAGGAAGATAAAAGGTAGAGTGATATTGGATCAAACATAAAAACAAATCAGCTCAACACACAAGCTTCTCATGAGCAGATAAAGTCCAGAACCTGGCACTGAGTAGACCCATCCCTCCAAGGGACAGTTTCCAAGTTTTCCTCATCAGTGAACAAAACCTCCCGAGGATACTTCAGAAAGCACATATTTTATGTCTCTTGAATCCTGCAGTAACAAAAACAAAGTGAGCCTTGAATTTGGGGGAAGTTTGTCCAGAAAACCCTGTATAAAATGGAAATGGGCACGTGGTACACAACTGGAAAATCCACATCTAAATACAGGCTCAGAGATGCCAGCTAGGCTCCCAACTTTCCAAAGATTGATTCACTGATGTTTTTTCAGAGCAAATGCATTCCAGTCCTTGAATAAAACACACCACAAATATAAAAATGTATTAGGGACTTTTTATACAAAGGATAGCTAAGAGCTTTTGTGTATTTGATTACATTCTATTTCTAAAATAATTCTGTGAGGTAAGCATTCTACAGATGAGGAAGAAACGATGGCCCCAAGAAATTAAGCAACTTTCTGAAAGTCACAACAAGTAGGTGGCAGGAGGTGATGCTGAGGCTCCTAGTTCCTTATCCATGATTTTCTCTACTACCCTTATCTTTCCAAAGTGAGATGACAATCAGTTTGTTGGGCCATCAGAGGGCTTCTATAATGAAAGACTGATATTTTCATGGAGATAAAAGACTACTATAAAACTAAGTAGACCCGAGAGAGTACCAAGAGAATAGCAAGAAGGTATGTGGATTCATTGCAAGTTGGGGGATCATATGACAAGGAGGATATCAGAAATTCTAGTCATATTAAAATACAAGTAACTACATTATATCTAGTCCCCAAAGGCCTGCAGTTTCTGCCTGATTTTATTGTCTATACTTATGAAGAATATATAAAAAGTTAAGATTTTTAGGAATTTGGGGACTACACTTCTCTTAACATTACTCAGGGTGTATAAATTACAAAAATTAATGCCTATAATGTGCTCTCAGAGGGGCCAATATTTGCCATAGCCAACAAATAAACAAAACTGAACAGATAAATAATTATAATAACTATCAATGTTTTTTACACATTTCGTAAAGAGGAGTCCACAATAGAAGTTGTCGTTGGTTTCGGTAGTTATCTACTAGAATCATTCACAACCACAAACCTTCCTTTGGGGGGGGGGTTCTGGGCAAATTTTCCAACTGTTTCTTTCCTAGGAGGGGTGCCAAATCCATCTGACTAAGCTCCTGTGAGTCCCCAATGACGTAAGGCAATAGAAGGTGAAACATCCCTGCACTCCGGGGTCCCAAGGACAGCGTTCTTGAGCTCTGAGTAACTTCTCTACAGCTAATACCAGTAATGGCCACAGCAGATGAAGACCTTGAGGCTGCAAACATCAGAGAAGGAAATGCTGGGTCTGTGCCTATCTGAGGCATTGGCCCATCAGTTAACAAGTGGACAGAATACTGGACAGAGAGGGTGCATGTTCTGATTCCCCTCTGCCACTAACTAGTGAGGTGACCTTCACCAAGGCTGCCTCTGTCCTGGTTGCAGAGAACTAATGTATACAATAAAGAGCTTGGAACAGATCAGCCCCAAACACCCCTTCAGTTCTAGGACATCCTGGCCACCATCTCTGCCAGGTTGTTTTACTGATTCTCTAGCAAGTACCTGTTTCTTGGTCACGGTGCCATCCACAGGGTCCACGTATTCAAAGCTGTCTGTCTTCGCCACACTGTAGATGTGGCTCCCCACGGCAAACTGCTGGCCAATGAAGGACTTGTCTGTGACCAGGGCCTCCAGGTCCCTCATGATATAATATGTCGCCTTGGGCTCCAGCCCTTCATAGTCAAACCTAGTGAGGGAAGGCAGGGCACAGGATGAACAAACACCCCATCAGAGAACCGACCACCGGGTGGACCCCTCAAGCTTGTCTAATCCTGGGTTCTGATTTTAGGAAAGGAAAGCACAGAAGAACACCCTCAATCGGTCTCCCATTTGCCTACTGACCTTTTCAATCCAGTCCCCACAAAGTGGCCAGAATGGCCTTACAACAGTCAAATCATGTCACCCCTTTTCCTTAACTCACTCCTGACACACTTATCATCTTGAGAACAAAACTCAAAACCACAGCCCGAGTGGATCTGCTGTGGGATCCACACTTGCCCTACTTGACTTATTCCACTTTTCACCCTTGTTACTCGCTACAGCCACCATGATCACCTCTCCAGTCTGCAAGGCTCCTTAGCCCTTTCCTTCCTCTGGGCCTTTGCCCTTCCTGTTAGCTCTCTCCACCCCATGTGCTCTTAGACTCCTTCATACCTGGTGCATTCAATAAGCTGTTTCGTCCTCTTCCTTCAGTCTTTCTCTATCTGCTTTTTGAGATACTGGGGCTTGAACCCAAGGGCACTTTACCACTGAACTACATCCCATCTTGCTAAGTTTCCCAGCCTGGATTTGAACTTACAATCTCTCATCTCAGCCTCCAGAGTTGCTGGGATTACAGGAGTGTGCCATCATATCCTGCTTTTCCTTCAATCTTTAAAACTATTGTCACTTCCAGAAAATGGCCTCTCTGACCATCCCTCCCAAAGAGCTTCTCTCTCCCCTTCTTTCATCATGTCTTACATTTTCTTTTGAGAGTTACACAGTCTGTATTTATCTGGTTGGTTTATTTATCGGTTGTCTGTCTTTATCCACCACAGTGAACTCTAGGAGGGCCCAGACCTTTGCTTTCCTGTTCTCTTTACTTCTGGAATATAGAAGAAGCTATGCTAGCACGCTGGAAGGGAAATGGGAAAAAGGAAAGGAAGGAAGGAAAGAAGCAGGAATCAACGGAGACAGGGGCAAAGTGAATCTCAGAAACATGGAATAAACGTTCCCCTCAGTTCCCTCAATGTCCCCCCTTTTTTTAAAGAGAGAGAGAGAGAATTTTTTAATATTTATTTTTTAGTTTTCGGTGGTCACAAGATCTTTGTTTTATTTTTATGTGGTGCTGAGGTTCGAACCCAGTGCCACGCGCATGCCAGGTGAGCGCGTTACCATTTGAGCCACATCCCCAGCCCCCTCAGTCCCCCTTCTACTGGCCACTGTCAACAGCAACACATTTCAAGGAACAAAACCTTTAAATAGAGAATTCCTTCTGGAGTCAGCTCAAACAAGGAAAATTGAGCTATTTTCTCAGATACAACTTCAGGATTCGTATTAGTTAAACTGAAATTGTTTTATTATTTCCACCCTGCCAAGAAAATTGTCTGGCTTAGAAATCATTGTGTTTCACAAACACCTTTCAACTTATCATTTGCTGGGGTTGAAAGAAATGTTTATCTTTCACTCTACCTATTCCCTCCGCCCTTTTTTTTTTTTTATCTCTGTGATCTTTTTGGATAGAAACCTAAAACATAATTCAACATCCTATGAGAAATTAAATCCCCCTTGCATATTATTCTCTAATATGGTATTTGTTATGAAAAAAGTGATTATCATGTAAGCACTTGGCCACAAACATGAACTATATTATAAATACACTTATCATTAACACCATTTCTTCAAAACACTGCAGAAACCTACATAATCATTCCACAAATGATGAGGAACACATCTCTGACTCGAAGCAATCTCATTAAGCTAGAGGTTGGCAAACATAATGTATTTTATCTAATTGAACTTTTTAGAAGAGCTTCATACAATAGTAAAATTTCATGTGCTGATTAACCCCCCAAAATCCCACAAGAATGAAGGGGCTAAGGCACTTGTTAGGAATACTGACAAGTAAAACAATTCCCTCCTGTCTTGAGAATCCTTATTTGAGGTTGCAATGAATAATTTGAGATGATGCAGGCTGTCATAGACCTTCTTCTTGACTAAATAGGAACCCAGAATATTGTGGTGTTGTCTACATTTCTCAGAACATTGCCATCTCTTTGACTTTAATAAATATTACCACAGTCTTCTTTATTCTCTGATATTTATCTAAGTAAATGGCTTCTTGAGAGAAGAAACAATCACCTTATAAGGCTAAAGTCTAAAGCTCTCTTTCTGTCCCTTAAGCTCTGGAAATACAACTAAACTCCAAAGTAGTTAACTATTCAAGAGTAAAACAAAATGAGTCACAATCTATGTTTTTAATAGACAGAATCTCTAAGACTACCCCCAAATTTCCTCCCTCTACCCTGTGTTCTCCACAGTTAACATTCTTTCTTACCACTCCTGCCCCTAAACCATGGCTTGGTACTAGGTTCACACACCCAGCAAGTAACCATGCTCCCAGAATACTCTTACCCTCACTTCAACAGCAAGAAGGAGATAGAGATCACCTCCTCTACCTACTATCTTTTCACCTCCCTCCTTCCCACGTAATATTTCCATTTTTTCTGTCTCTTCTTATTGAGAGCAAACCTCTAGCAAAATCTCTAACTCCTGAACCACATGGCCCCTTCAAAGGGTGCCAGGTTGGACATCCTGGACATCATTTGAATCACTGATGAGGAGGTAAAGGCAAAAGTAGAAAAAAGAATATGAGAGCACCCAGCCTGTAACAGCTTCTGTTCCTGCCCTGCTCCTTGATAACTATGGGTGGACAACCAATAGGAAATGCCTCTATTTGAGGGCATTCCTCTCCCAGCCACCATGGTTACCAGGGGATTGTTCATGCTCTACAGCTCACATATCCTCTTAGATGGCTGCCCACCTTATAGGCACTGATAAAAAGAGTACAGAAGGATGCCATGAAGGGAAGTGAAATTTGCACCTTCCAGGTTGGTAGTCCTTGACACCACCCCAACCACTTATCAGCATGATCTAGTTCCAGCCTCAGTGTCCCTCAGATCTTCCTGAGAGATGCTGCCTTCTTAAAATTCTAGTCAACTGGTTTCAGAAAACTTCTCTGAGTAGTTCCCCAGGGGGCATGCAGGGACCCTCCCTTCCTCTCACCTGCAATAGTAGTGGCGGCCATATTTGGCCCAGTGATCCCGAACAATTTCCTCTACACTCTGTTTCCGGGCAGCGATGATGGAGAGCCAGACCAAGACAGCCCAGAGGCCATCTTTCTCTCGGAGGTGATCAGAGCCTAAGGGAAAATCAAGGATTGTGTTGTGAATTCATTCCCTGGGAGAAAGCAAGAACAAAAGGAGCTAACAGACAAGTTAGAAAATGTTATACGGAAAGGTTTGAATATATTACCCACTGAGTAAAATCTATGTCCATAATATATTTGCTTTTCTAAATAACTGCTGACTGAAATTCAAACAACATAACAGCAAAAAACAAAACAAAACAAACAAACAAACAAAAAACCCCATAAAATCCTGGAAAATTCTGAAGGAATCAAAGAGCCAAACTGACATATTACATTAGACAACAATATCCTTAATTCATCCATTTATTCAGTAAGTATTCAGAGATCCCTAAAATATACATTGTTTTACATCCTGAGGATATGGCAGTGAACAAGATAGTTCTTTACTTGTAAAGTCTGAATTCAAATAGAAACAGACAAAAGAAATCATATAAAAGAACAGATATAACAGAACAAGTTGCATCAAATTAGGACAAGTTCTTTGAAGAAATTAAAGTAGATGCTGATATCACAGAGCATAAAAGGAACAAAGGCCACTTTATCTAAGTTGAATGTTGGCCCCCAAAAGACACATCCTCATGAAGCCTCTGGATATGACAATATCTTGGCAAATGGTCTTTGTGGGTATAATTATGTTGGGGATCTTAATGTGAGATCATCCTGAAATATTCTGATTGACCCTAAACTCAATGACAAATGATTTTATGAAAAAGAAGAGGAGACACAAAAGAGGAGTAATGGAGAGGCACAAGCCATACAAAGATAGAGACAGAGAGAGACAGAGGTTGGAGTTAGGAATTTGGCTGAAGAGGCAAGGAAGGACCTTTCCTTAGAGCTGTCAGAGGAAGCACAGCCCTGCCAACACCTTGGGTTTGGATTTCTGGCCTCCTGAACTATGACACAATACATTTCTGTGTTTCAAGTCAGCCAGTTTGAGGATTTTTTATGGAAGCCCTAGGAGACTGATAGAGCTCGAAAGGGTCAATCTCACTGAGGTGATGACATCTGAGCTGACACCTGAGAAGGAGTCAGTCATGCCGAGGTCTAGGGACAAAGGGTTCCAAGCTGAGGGAGAGCAAATGCAAAGTCCCTGAGGCAGGAATGAACTGAATGCCAAATCCTACAGCTATTTATGTAGAAAAAAGAGGCAATTCTTATCATGTCATTCTCACAAATAGAGAGTGCAGTCTAAATGAGTAGCTTCCTGTGCAACAAGAACCCAGAAGAATGTGCTGCAGGCCCACTTAAGCATCTGTCTCTGGGCCAGCTGTATGCTTTCTGTGTGAAGAGGATAAAGCCCTGCATTCAAAAGAACGTGGAAAGTGAGGAATTCATGAGGAAGGCTTTGGAATTAGGATTTTGACCAATCTCTGCTTTTTCCCAGGTGTGAAACATGATTGCAGTTAGTAACCTCTCTGAGTCTCAGCTTCTCATCTGTAGAATGGAGACACCATGACCAATCTTGTGATCTTGTTGTATTAATTAAATCAAGTTAAAGAGCTGGACTCAGTGGTAGAGCGTTTGCTGAGCATATATGAGGCCCAGGGTTCAACCCCCAGCAATGAAAAAAAAAAGAGCAGGCTCTATAGTCAGATTGTCCATTTTCAAATTCTGGCTCAGCCACTTACTTTGTTTACTACACTCATCTGAAATATGGGGACAGCAATTGTCCCTACCTCATGAGGTTACTTCCAGGATTAAGAGGCTATAGATGCCTAGGTATTTAGAGCAGTGACAAGGACAACTGCAGGCAGTTGTTACTGCTGACTTTGTTGGTAATTCACAGAAAGCATCTATATAGTGCTGCTTCCCTGTACATGTTTTGGGACAAACCATTCTGTTATTTATGTGTGTGTGTGTGTGTGTGTATCTGATTAGCAATAACAATGTCTTAAGAAACAAGATTGGAACCAGAGGTGGACAATTTCTTCTTGGAACGGGGTAATGAGAATGGACTACAGAAATCTTGGCTTCAGGACAATGAAACATACACAGAAAATCAACAAAGGAGACCCATGCCACGGAGCTGTTAAAACTTCAAGATGGGATGAAACAGTATCTTCGTTAAGTTACATATCTTTGGCAACCTCTCACTGAAGCTATGGACCATTTGCCATTCTTGTTATGTTTCGTGTTAAAAATCCAACATTTATTTAAGGAGGAAAACATACAACCCTGAAGGAGAAACAAAGGTACTTATATGGAAAGGAAAAAAGGATCACGTCTTTTGTTCTCGATATGCACTGATCAATGGTCTGCTGATGACACTGTTAGTTGTCTGGTTGTGGCTGCCTCTACGTCAGGGGGACCCTGGGCATTAATCATCACACCATAAAGTGACTCTGGCCTCAGCCAGTGAATTCTTCACACTACTACAAAAATGGAAGATGTTTGGAAGACTCAGGCTTAGCTCTATGGCCCACTGCCAAAAAAACAAGTCTAGGAAACCCTGCCCAGTGGGATCGTTTCAAAACCTCTTGTCCTTTTATAGCTGAAAAAAATCACTTTTGCTTACTGATTGGAGAAAAATACCCTTTTGTTTTAAAACACAAGCTTTGCATACCTTGGACCTCCAGCTGGGTCACATTATCTAGATATAGAACCATTAGTTGCTATTAAGTTTGTGAGATAAGATGCCATAATTCCGTAGTAGAGAGACATAGAGTTCTTTCAGATGGATTTGAAAAATATCTCAATCATTTTTGGCCAACCACATAGTAAACTATGAGTTGGCGTGGATACCCTCGCCGAAAAGTACAACATTTGCCCAGATTCATAAGGGGCCAATGATCAAGTAAAATTAACTGTGCTCTTCAGAGTTCTTTGAGCTAGCCATAAAGACATTAATGGTGCAGCAATTACACAGATGTTTCCACTGGATGACCACAGTGTGCCTTGGAGGGGCTTTTGAGGATACAAGTCTCCTTTTACTATTTCTTGAACCCAATGTTTTCAGTGCCAGGTAAGTAAGAAATGCAGAAAACACAGAGGTATTGAATGGATTTCTAAAACCCCACTATAAACAGTCAAAATGGAGGAGAGAAATATTCACACTACATATATGTATATATGACAGGACTAATAGTGTTTGTGGCAAAAAAAAATGTTTTTCAAAGTTAATAAGAAAAAGAGGAACCCCATGAGACAATGTGTGTGGGGGCACAAACAAGCAATTTTTAAGAGAAAAATATTAACAGTCAATATATGTTTGAACATATGTTCAGTCTTAACTGTGGCCAAAGTCCATAAAATGGGATACCATTTGGGGCCTATCAAATCAGCAAAGATGGGGTGGGGGAGGAGAACAGCTAGTATTGACAAAGCACCAGTGTACGTGAGCACAGTTTGTAGAATAATTTGGCAATGATGATCAGTAGTCTCATAAATTCCTTAGCTTTGGACCCAGCTATATTATTTTCTTAACTTTTAGTCATGAGGACATTCACTGAAATAGTTGAAAGGGCAAACCTGGAAAAATAAATGTTAATTGTTCAACAATAGGATAATTGTGAAAAATCCTCACAAAAGCTTATTGTGTGGGTGAAAGTATTGAGTAAGAATCTTTAGTAACAGAACAAGGTTCATCTAACTTTAATAAATGGAAAAGAAACCATTCATCAAAAATAATATCCAGCCATTTTTGGCAGAAAGATGTATGTGTATAACAACTGACAACCAACCATCAATAAAGGTTACTTATCTCTGAAGTGGTAGAATTTCAGGTGCTTGTCTTCTCTTTTCTTTGCAGTATTTTCAAGACAAACATGGACCCATTATTTTTGTAAGGAATAAATACAATTTTAAACTTATCAATGATGCATATAAATTCATATTTGAAAACATGATTTTTTCCAGAGTGTTATATAGTTGGACTTACACAGTACGTAGCCTTTTAAGACTGGCTTCTTTCACATAGTAATATGCATTTCGGTTTCCTACCTGACTTTTCATAGATTGAGAGCTTTTTTTGATGCCAAGTAATTTGTGAAGCATGCTTCCTCTGCCTTCTTTAATGCTGGGAAAGCCAGAGCTTGCCCCTCACTCAGGACATTGCAAGGAGAACTGACCCCTACTCCCAAAGTGCCACTTACCCAGCCTTCCTCCATCCAGGCCAGCTGGCCCCAACCCCCCTCCACCTTACTCTGAGCATCCCTGAGCAGCCAGCATCCCCACCTGGATATCAGAAGGAAGCACTCCTCTCCTTCACACCTGACTCCAGCAAAAATCAGCACAAAAAGAGGGAGTGCATTGTTTTTTTCTCCTTAGAAATAGCACTGTCCCTTCTCCACTCAAATTAGCCCTTGAGTTTCCTCAAGTTTTGAAACCATACTCCTTGAGGTAGGCAGTATACCAACAAGTATACTGCCCTCACAGAAGAGGGCAATAAATAAATGATAAAAAAATTGAAAAGGGTAATAAAAGATAAAATTAAAAAGAACACTCCATCATTTCAAAGGAATATGCTTCCAGTGGAAATACCAGTGTGAAAAAATTAATAAAACCTCATAGGCATTTCCATCATATCAAATCATCACAGCTGAAACTCAGAGAGGGGAACTCCAAATTTGTCAATTAGGAAAATACAAGTCATTTTGCACCCATAGGTAACTAGATGGCACATTAGAATCACCAAAAGAACTTTAAAAAACACCAATGTTCAATGCTCCACCCCCCTCACCTTAATACAAGGACTTGAACACAGGGCTTCACACATACTAGGCAAGCATTTTGCCACTAAGCTATAGCCCTATCCAGTGTTGAACTTGTAATCCTTCTGTTTCAGCCTCCCAACTAGCTGGTATTACAGAAGTGCAGCATCACTCAATGGTATTCTTTTTGTAAAAAACTCCTTGAGTGGTTCTCGTGGGCAGCTAGGGCTAAAAGCCACTGCTTAAGAAAGGCACTGTCGTGTTAGGGCTAGTGAGTTAGGCTTCTTACCCCTTTTGCACTAATTTGCTCTAATTTGGCATTATTTACATGGGTGGTCCTCA